GCTCTTGCTCTACCTACAAATAACGTCAGTAAGACAGAGCAAAACATCTTTTTAAAGATGACAGAGGAAGAGAAGGGCAAACTCTGGAATTCTCCAGATCGAGAAGGGGGAACTCTTTCACTCTGCACATGGAGAAACGGATGGCATGCTGTGTGCCCACGTCTACGAATTCACAGTGGGTTTGTATCGTTACACCACAATGCTGGAGTGACTTCGGCCACCCTGAGCCATAAAGCATAAATTGCTAGTAATTTGTGTTTTTGTTCAAATGATTCAAAATTGGGATTTGGTTAACACAATTACTTTTTAAATGCACAGAATCGTATTAGTTCGGTGACAAAAAATAAAATTTTGCCATTGAACATAATTCTTTATTGAATGAATGAGAAGACTGAGGGCCAGAGGTGAAACTGCTCTGCCGGAAGTCCATGATCCAAGTGAAGGCCGCAGGCCCTCTGACCTCGGAAGCAATCTTCCCTCTGACGCAAGTTTCAGCATTCATCACCTGTGTGCGGCCATCGTTTCTGAAGCAGTTTTGCTCGGGTTTGTCAACCACCACAAGCGGAAGGATTTTAATAATCATTCCATGTTATTTCATACTGTAATCACTTAAATAGGCTTTTTTCTTTAAGAATTAAGTGGTTTGCCAGCCGCAGGACCTTGATTTCTCCTACTCATATAGCACTCCTGCCGCTAAGAATTAAACGAAGTTTTGGTGGCATCGATTGACGTATGTGTAGGTACAAGGAAATGCTACTCAGTTTTCTGTGACTGGACGCTAAAGACAGGCTGAAAATATGAGAAGCTTGAGTCCAGAGAACAAACTTGAGAAGGATAGAGTTAAAGTCTAAAAATCAGCAAGTCAAGGAAGGTAATGAATGATAATGTTCATTGGTCCCTCAGTAAAAATAAAGGAGAGTCCCCTGAAGGTTGGAACAAGTGGATTTCAGGATAAATGCAAGGAAGGACTATGTTGCATTTATGAAAAACCAGCGTCACCTGGTGACAGAGACTGAAAAAAACAGAGATGGCTTCAGAAAATTGTAGATTAATGCTTCACTCACGTAATAGGTTTTAAAGGAAGCCAAGTATGCCCTAGAGGAGCATCCGTAACCCCTGAGGCTGATCACAGCCCAGAGAACCAAGCTCTTTCAAGAAACCTCAAGGCTGTCTTCCGACTGAATATCTAGTCTACATGTCAACGGGTCAGACCCATTTAGCAAGCCTTAAACTCCTACTAGAAAGCAAGAGCTCCCTCAATGGAATACACATTAGTGAATCTATCAATCTGCTAAACCATTTCTAGGCAAATAGAGGGAAAAGGTGAAGAAACATATCCCTTGCTCAAAAATCTCACCAACCCAATACAAAAATGAAGAAACTCATTTACCAATCCCCAGTATCCCCAAATACAGGGACCTTTGTTTTCCCACCACCTAGCTCAGTGCCTAGCATCTGGTTAGGGTTTAGTAATTATACAGTTAACAAGTTATGTTCTAAGACTACCGATAACTCCTAGAGAGTGTTAAGCTAATTATAATTAGTCATTTACAACCACTGTGGGATTAACAAAGGTGGGGTTAACAAATATGGGAATAACACATTTCGGAAATTATCAAAGCATCTAGGCTGGGATGGTCAGGAATATGGAACAAATCAGCAACACCCCACAGCTCCTGGAAAATCACCCACCGAGATCATCTTGCCTAGAGAGATTAGGACATAGTTAAAACTCTAAGTCCAAAACATGTATGAAAATTTAAAAGAATGCATAGGTAAATAATTAGCTTAGATTAACTAAATGCTATTCATGTGATGCCAAGGAAAACATTTATTCTAGCATGTTCTAATCTAATTGCTATTGAAATAAAATAAAATGAATTTTAGTAAACAAATGCCTTTGTCCTCCTCCAAAATTCATCCTGTTTTGGGGCCTAAGCTCGGTGTAGAAACTTGTTACGGATATTCCGAATACATTAATAAATGTCTATTAGATCTGGAACCAAATTATCTTTGAGGAATATTATAGCACTCATTTCAAAAGTATAAATTTGGTTTACCAACTATTTAGCATCAGTGATCGTGTCCAACATTTCCTGTCCTCCCTTCGTTCCCACAGAAGCTGGCACTGTAATTATCACTTTGGCTTCAGAAGTCATTGGCCGCTTGAATACTTCTTCAGCCAAACCTGGAACAAACTCTGTGACCACAGGAAAAGCCACTGAAAGCCCCCACCACAGAAAGAAGCAGAATCCAGGCCAGTCCAAAACTGTTCTGCGCCATCACACCCAGCCTGTTTACATCCCATGGTACTACGGGAGTCAGGACAAGTGGGTGGGGACCGGGAAGAGAGGAGCAGGGGGACAATACAGTTCCAGCAGGCGAGGCAGCTGTCCCCACAGCCAGCAAATAGTTGACAACTGTGACTTCTATGACATAACACTTTCACAAGCTAAGGATGCCAGTGGCCGTTGTTCTTACAAGAACAACGGTTCCCAGTGAACACGTGGCTGAGCGTGTGGAACGATGCAGAGCGCTGGCTGTAATACAAAACACACACACATGGAATTAAAGGATTATTAGGATACCGGATGTCCAAACCCTGCCAAATGTGAACCCAGAGAGAGAATAAAAGTGCAAGCCACAGCCGTGTTAGAAATCGAAAGGATTACAGCAGCTTGGCCCCACACTGTCGCATACGTCAATAGCTAGGCCACAAGAGTAGGCAGCAGTAGGCAGCTTATGCTGTAAATTCCATTTCTTTTTGTTTGCAAACGACCCGGGACATCCTCAAGAACAAGAGCCATTCCCCCATCTCTGGAAATACCGAGATATCAAAAGGCCAAAGACTCAAGATTAAGGAAAGATCAAAGCAATAAATCAATGTACCTTTTTAAATGAAAACAGATAATTATGCATATATGCCACATTAGCAGAACATGGGCAATTAGCAGGGAAAGGAATGAGAGAAAGAAATAAGTTCGCTGCTAATAAGAAAATTCATAAACCCTAAAACCTAGTGTCAATGGAGCCCAACACAAAGTCATACAAGTACCAGTCCTTACACGGACAGTTCTGCCTAAATCCGGAATACCTCCAAGTGATACTGCCAAGGCTCCTCGTCCCAGACAAACAGAGGAAACGGTCTGGAATGAGGGTCTGCCTGTGGTCTCCCTTAGGACCCTTACATAAGCTAGTGACCATTACAGGCAGCTGACTGCTGATAAAAAGCCAGCAGAGGGAAAACATGATGGAGGCTTTGGGTCACTAAGGGCTTGGCAGAGGCCAGAGACCACAGTACCGGTCCAGAAGGCTGGTTCCCGAACAGTCACATACGCATGCACACAAGCTGCATACAGATCCTTATAAATATTCTGCTGATACTGAAAAGACCTCCAACAGAGCACCACAGCCAAATACAATTATCATGGGCAAATTCATGAGCACTATTTCCAAACAGGACAGAAGTTTAAATGTATACTCCACATTTTTAAAAAAATTAATGCATACGTAGTATAGCCATGGCATTTGAGGACTCCTCAGGGGATCTTAGCCATCTTCCAATTCAACTCTCTGTTTAAACAGTACAGAGCTCTTAGGCAACCTGACTCAAGTCAGAAAAGTCAATGGCAGGGGCAGGACCTGACTGCCCACAGCTTAACACCTTTTCCCCTCAGGGAAAGTGCCCTTGAAAACTGCTTGGATGATAAAGACACCGTTTTACTGGTCACCGTGACTGCACGCAACAGAAATATACAGACATAATTTCAGTAAGAGCAAAACACAGCTGAAATTCTGAAGAGGGCAAAAGCCTTAAATGCATGCAAGAAAAACACATTTTTAATTGGCATTAAATTGTGGGAGCCTGTGCTTTAACCTGAGTCTTAGCTGGCAATCCGTTCCTTTAATCCCAGTGAAACCTATGACTTGCGCAGCCTAATTTAAAATGTAAGACCAAACAGATCTGAAAAGTACAGTTTTACCCTTGTACTTACTTTATACTATAGTGTACTGTAATTAAGCCTGAAAGAAAAGCTATATTCTGCATAAAGACAAAAAGCTCTTGTTAATGACATTCCATTCTCAGTGTAGAATATAACAAAGGCCGCTTCATCTGGAGCCAACTGTCATCACACTTTGTAGCTTGTATGGAGCGACTGGACTAATATTTGTGCTGGGATTAGTGAAGGGGTAACCAATCAGTTAACTCCTCCACTGCAGTTTTCTATTATCCTCAATAAATGGCCAAAAGAAAAAAAAAGAAAATTGGCAGGCAGCATGACAGCTCTATTTATGAGATTAAACTCTCAAACCCTTCACAATTTGCTGGGCAACTAATAACTATTTGCCGAGCTGTTCACTGAATAATGAGTCAGTGAAGCCAAGAGAAAATGTCCTATGAACCTACCAATGGTGCTCTAACCATATCCACACTGACAAGCCCCGATTATTTATGTAATGTACTTATTTAGAATAAGAAGTACAAGTTGTCTTGTATGAAAATCAACTCCCCTTATTAGCCAAATGCAAACAACCTAACAGTATCAAGGAAACTGAAATTTGTAGGTGATTTTGTAATTTATGACAAGTCAGAAGGATCAGCAAATTGTTTGGGGGGGTAATTCCTTTTTGTGTCACGATTCTAGACCAAGGGCCAGACGCTCTCCATCCAACTCCATGCGCAGTGTGACATACCTTAGGGCATCTAACTGTATCTGTTCCCTCATTGCATAAAAGGGAGTGTCAAGACTGAGACCTTCCTTCCCAGGGGCTTATGAGGACTGAGCAAAGCTGCTACACTGTGCAACACATGCACCAGGTACAGTACAATTAATCAGGGGAAGAAGCAGAGGCGTGGCTGCTTCCCAAGGAAAATAGGTGTCAAAATTGGAGACAATACCAGGTGGCCTCTGCTTTCCCTCCTGCTTTTCCCACCCATCTCCACAAACCCAGAAGCTCAGGAAAGCAACCAGAAGGTGACCCCCTTCGCTTTTACTTACTAATAGTTCATCCATACTGGTCTGGCATTTTTCCAAGTTGATCCGCTTTATCGCTACACGCTCTTGCCTGGGTTTGCACAGCGCAGCCTGGACCACTGCCGTAGCTCCACTGCCTGAAATCAAATGAAAGCGACATGAGCTAGCAAATGGCACCCTGGCCAGTTACTATTTGTGACCTCCTTCACAGATAAATATGTAATTTTTGAAAGTCTTCTACTCAAGATTATTCAAAACATTGCCATTTGTTAAGCCCCAAAGTAATTATCTAGAGGAAAATGGAAAAACTGGACTTTATTTGGGAGGATGCAAAGACAGTATCTTGTGCTCCAAAGGCTAATAATCCAGGAAGGTGACCCACACCACCAGAGCCATTGAAAAACAGCGTGTTTATGGCCGCCCAGAGCGAAGGCTGAGAGGGACGGGTCTGAGGTCACGGGCGCACAAGACACGTACATTGTCAGTGTGCAGAGGACCTCTCTCCTCCTGTGTTTTCTAACTTCAGTGCCCATAAAATATCTCAAGCACTTCTTCCGCTTCAGCCCAAAGGAAACCACTCCAGCCCGAGCTCCTTCAGGGCTTCCAAGAGACGCTGCAACAACATATCTGCCGTGAGCACTCTTTGAGCTTATTTTTTGTGAGCTTGCTCTACAATTAGAAGAACAGGAATCAATCCTCCATATGCGGGCTGATGTCAAGGATGCCAAGAAAGTGATGCAAATGTGTCATTACAAAAGCTCTCAGCATTCATATGATTTTCCTGTTTCTAAGGTTTCGTGATCATTAGCTAATGCACTCAAACTCCTAGGAGATGGAGTCATGTCATTATCCATATTTTATAAGAGCAAAATGTAGACGTGTAATGATTTGTGGCAGAGAACAAAGAGCTCCTAATCGGATTTATATTCCGTAGGGGCAAAAAGACCTCCAGGTTAAAGCATCTCGGTTCTGCAAAGAATACGAAAAATCTCATTCTGATCACATAAACCCTCTATCCCCGGCAGGACTGCCGAGAGAAACAGCCCGTCCCCGGGACTGTGCAAAGGGGGTCGGGTGTCACCAGCTAGCTCTCTCCTTAAAATTTTCCTTCAGGTACTACTTCTCAAATGAGTCATTAAACATCATCAAAATGGGAGAGAGGGCACCTTTTGATTATAAGGAAGAGAGAGTATTAGCTTTCCTTATATACATGATGGAAAGGTGTCACATTTCTAGTGTAAACCGCGGCCTTCCCACCCCGAGGAAGGGCCCAAATGGGTGTGTCTGGAGCTGAGGTTCTGCCCTTTCCTCTACCTCCTGGTCTCATCAGTAGCAGGGCCTCATGACCTGGTGACCTGAGCAGGTCACCCTCATGATGACCCCAACCCGGAGCCCCAACTTGAAGCCTCCCATTCCAAGAAGTCCAACCTGCATTTCCTGGAGAAGAAAATGCACCCACACTGTGCAGCAGGCATTTCACTCCTGTAATTCTCATCACAAGCTTGTATGCTTCTTGTCATCAGCCTCATGTTATATACGTGAGAAAACTGAGCCCTGGGACGCCTGCCCACTCGGTTACGTGCCTGAGCCGGGATCTGAGTCAGGCCTGCCAGACACCCAGCTCCACGCCTTCTTCAACTCCCTACAAGCCAGAGCACCCTCTTCCCTTCCTCGCTGGCTTTGGCCTCACTAGAAAAATATTTTCTCCTACATGGTTGAAAAGAGAAATAACCTCAAGGGAAGGCTTTAGTGAGCCTGCTCTAAGCGTTCAGTGCAAGGAGAGAGTGCCATGGCCGGAGGTGGTCCGTCGTCTCATTGCCTCCTCCATCAGCTACTCCACGTCTTCCCTGGCCCTGAGGAGCACAGCACGTGGGGTTCAGTCCAGAATGCTCCAGGCATCAGAGCCGAACACTGCCAGGGCCCTATTGAGGGAACAGTGCATTTTCCAGCCAATGTGTCCAGAAGAGGTGACCATCCCTGAAGGGAGCCACAGAGAAAGTGGTGTAGCTGGTTAGCACCAGGCCTGGCACCTAGCAGAGAAATCTGCTGCTGATGGGACACCTGCTATAAATCGCCCCCAGTCTGACCCCTCCATCCTTAATCCACATCCCAGAACCTTCTCAAGTCAGAGGAACTGAAAAATAAGGAAGATGAAGACAAATTCCCAGAAAGAATAAAACAAGTGCATTTAATATGGGCGACCACCCATGGTCAGCGAAGTTCCCGACTATAGAAGACAGATCCACAGACAGGTGGAAGACGGATGCACAAACAAGACACCTAAAAGATGGGGGGTGGGGGGTGGAGAAAGCCTTTTATGCTTCACTCTGCTTACCAGGAAGATTCAGATGGTTTAAGAGGAGGAACAGGAGGACTAAGCTGGAAAACTAAGTCTGTAAGATGTGAAATGACATGAGTAATCTAAGAGTCTAAAACAGAAGAACCCAGAGAACTCAGTAACAGCTATGAATTCATATTCTATAGCTCAACTTCTCACTAATAATGTACTTTGATATCTAGCCTTAAAAAAACAATTTTAGAAAAACTTTATTGATGGACAGTGACTATAATGGGGTATGTGGTGGGGACTTGATAATGGGGGGAGTCTAGTAATCATATAATGTTGCTCATGTAACTGTACATGAATGATACCAAAATAAAAAATAAAAAAATAAAAATTTTAAAAATCTTTATCCATCCAGATGGTTGGAGTTCACATCTTAGTCCTGCCACATACTAACTGCTTATCCTCAGATGACTGGCTAAACTTCTCCATGCCTCAATTTCTTCATCTGTAAGATGGGCATAACAGCATTGAGCTCACAGGGTGGCTGTGAGGATCAAATGAATTAATACAAGGAAAGCCCCTGGAACTGTGCATACTGCATAGGAAACACTAATTAATCTTAGCTGGTATTACTCAGGGAAATCCCTCCAGGTCAATGGATGTATCCCGCCAGTTTGTTTTAATGCTATATGATATTTCATGATGTTGATATGCTATAAGCTATTCAGCCCTTCTATTGATGAGATTCTCTTTATTTCCAGCTTCCCACCCGCCAGTGCAGTGTAGAATTAAACATCTGGCATTTTAAAAAACATGTATTAGTCCATAAGAATTTTTCTTTATGCTAAAGATACAACGTGGTCAATTGTCCAGTAACCCCTCCCCATAAATGTAGGGATTTTGAAAACAAAAAGCATTCCACTAGCCTCTGACATTAATGGTGCCCAGTGGAAGGACATTCCATCATCACATCCTACTTAAATGCGGAGCACCAAGCCAAAACTTTACCAAGCGCTTGCCCGTCTGTTAGCGTTCCCCTTGATCATGCCTCCCTGGTCCTTCCTCCGCAAGCAGAGTCCAGAGATGCATCAGGCCTTGCTTCTGGATGTGCGGGCGGGAGGTGCGTAAATAAACAAAAGAAAGGGCTTTGGTCCAACTGATGATTACTTCCAGTTCTCTCTTTACTCGCCTTACTCCAGGTACTCGAGTTCTATCAGGTACCCAGCCTCCAAGCCCATGAAACCAGTCAGGTCACGTAAGGGCCAGAAGCTGGCAGCGGGCGAATGGGCGCACACCTGCACTCTGCTAGGGTACAGAGGCATTCTCCTCTGCCCCGTCGCTATGGGAGATCGCTGCCCTAGCACGACAAGACTGATTTTTACAGAAAAACGGAAAATTCAGAATTGCGTCTAAGATTTCCTAATATCATAAGATTTGCAAGTAACTTTTTTAAAAACAAAAGCATTGTGTGTCACATAAAAGCTTGCCTCAGGCTGTATTTTGCTAAATTGGGTTCAAAGGTGTATCCTTCCTTACCTGATGGTCCGAATTTTTAATTATTGATTAGATTACATATATGTGAAGTTGCTATTCTACTATTTCAAAAATATGTGAATGTACCTAGGATCCAGGCATATATCGTTGTCCACCTCATCCTCCCATTTCACACAAAGAGATAACTGGTTATAGAGTTATTCTCCTGTCATTTGGTGCATCCCATGTGAAAGGCAGAGCATGGTAAACTCTCAAGTCAAACACAAGGAGCAGAAACAGGGACACGGGTATTCTGAGCAATGTGCTGCACAGACCCCTTTACAAAGCAGGCACCACCACTGGTCCGTCTGCATGAACGGTACACAGACAATGTTCACACAGGGCCGGGCACAGCAAGGCCATGTTTCTCAAGGAAGCTACAAACCTATGACCCTCCTGAGTGGCCTGGTCTGTGTGACAGCCAAGATGGCTGACTTACGTCCTGCTTCCAACAAAAGGGCCAGTTAGAGCCACCTTCTGGGATTGTTGAAGCAGATTTACAGCCTACTGAAAAATACAGACAGACCACTGAGGTAGAGAAATAGCTACTCAGTGAATGAACTTACATTTCACCACTGACCTGGGTAAATTGCCTCACTGGGAACACCTGGCTTGTGAAAATCTTTAGAGATCACAGGTCTCACCAAAGAAAAGCAGCCACTGCACGTAAGACAGCAAGAACCATCTGATAATACCTCCAGCAAACAAAAACAGCCCGGGGACCTGATCGGAGAGACAGAGGCAGCCAGTGTGCAGTATCACATCGGCATGAATATAAAGAAGCTCGCCTTGGACCCCAAGCTACATCCAAAGCAACAGCCACCACAAGAACATTTAAAAACAGCCCTACAACTACACTTACTAAACTCAGAAGGCATGTGGACTGGAATTACCTAACGTAAAGAAAATCAATAATGAAGTTATGAGGGGCTACTGGTAAATCCTAGGCACCTGGCTGAAGTAGGATTTGTTAAATAACACTCTAATTTCCATCTAATTCAATGTCATTGCTATTGGGATTGACTCCTAGATTTTCTTTTTTTTCTTAGTGACATAAAGGAGATTTTAAAAATGTAATCACTCTACGAATATGATTCCTGTCAGCTAAACCAAAAACTTAACAATTAGCCTGAAGAACACGCTCAATTCAATGTTAGCCCCCCTCGAAGCTGAAACTGTGTTTGAGGATTCTAGGCCTAGTGTGGACACTGACCAATGCAAAACCTGTAGAAAACATAATCTGTGATCGTGCATTTATTTTTTCAGAAAAAGACCATCGTATTTTGATGTGGGCTGGTTGACAACCTGGCCTCAGGC